GGTGAGCGCGGCCCGCATGGCCGGGCCCGCACCGCCCTCAGGGCCCGGGCCCGCACCGCCCTCACGGCCCTCGGCCCGGGCTCGCACCGCGCCGGCCGCCGGGCAAACGCGCCTGCGGCGGGGGGCCGCGGCGCGACAGGGGGCGCTGCGGGGGGCGCGCGCGCCGGACGGGCCGCGGGGGTCACGTGACGGGGCGCGGGAAATGGTGGCGGCGGGAGGCGGCGGGCGGGTAACGGGGGACGGGCCGGGAGTGGGCGGGGCGGGGGCGAGCTGGCTCCTGGGACTGTGTGGGGCTCTGGTTCGGGCCAGGCTTGATCCGGCGCCCCGGCCCCCCCGGAGCGGGACTCACCCGGCTCTCCTTCCCTGCAGGCCCCGGCCGGCGGGGCCAGCGCCGTTCCCCGCGGTGCAGCGGGTGAGCAGCGCAGGCGGGCGGGCAGGACGGCCGGGAGGATCGACGTGTACTTTGTCAGGTGAGGCCGGGGGCCGTAGCTCTGTGTGGCCTTTCTTGGCCGAGCCACACAAACGCGCCCCAACAACTGTTTCTGTCCTTAATTGTTTGTTTGTTTGTTTTTTTAATGTACCATACGTTTTTCAGCAAAAAGCAAGAGAATGAACAAGTCACTAATTTACTTTCCTTTCCTACCGCAGCCCGGAAGGGAAGAAGCTGAGGTCGAAACGAGCGCTTGTGGAGTATTTTCAGAAAACTGGGGAGACAACACTGAAAGCAGCAGATTTTGATTTCACAGCTCCTCGGGGAAGCACACGCTTGGGGGTGAGGGGATGCAGCACAAGAGCTGCAAAGACTGACCTGGAGAAGGACGATTGTCATAGCCAAGTGCAGGAGCTCTGTGCGCAGAATGGGTCCAAGGATGGAATTGAGAACATCCACACTGGGAATGGACACCTGGAAGATGTTACATCCACTTTGGAAAGCACAGATTTGGTCATGGATAGCACAGACCCAGAGAAGGGTTTGAAAACAAAAAGGAAGGGGGCAGGTGGCAAAAGTGTCCAGAGTAGAAAACCTGCAAAGAGCTCGGAAAGGAGGAACCAAGGTGACCCCCAGAGCAAGAGGCAGAGAAGAGTCTGTAGCACACGGCAGATCGAGTGTGTTCAGAACGAGAGGTTCTGTAGACAGACAGACAGGAGTGGGGCTGACAGCCAGGGTGTGGGTGATGCGAGTGCTGAGCCTGTGGGTGCAGGCACAGCTCTGTCAGCAGTGTCCAGGGCACAGGCAGGCACACGGCTGAGGTCAGTGGCTGCTGGCTCGCAGAGGGACCTGGGGCACCTGCCAGAGGAGGGTCCTGTGGGGACAGGCTCCAGTGACCCAGCTGAGGAGAAATCCCACGGACTGGAGACAGGGAAGGAGCCAGATGGGGGGCCTGTGGGTAAGCAGGATGTTAAATCCAACACCGAGGCGGATGCTGAGCCGTGGGACAGGACGAGCTGCACAACTGTCAGAGGGGCACCAGGTACATGTGTGTGTGAGCAGAATGTGACCCCAGCCCTCACCTTCTGCCAGGGTGTCCTGACTGTTTGAGCCAGGTGTTCTGTTTTGGGTTGACCTGCTCTAACACTGAAAACTGTCTCATTTCTTTATCCAACAGCATTTAACTTAATGCAGATTTAGTCACACCTGAGACTTTCTGTTCCAAACTCTCGAGCTCTACAGTGTGAGACCTGCAGGGGATCTAGGGCATGTGTGTGTTCTGTGCATGACAAAAATTTCTTCTGTTTCCATCGCAGCATAAAGTGGTGTGTTGGTTCTTCTTCCTAATGCTGAGGTTCTATTTCTTTACAGAAGAGTCTGTCCCACGAACACAAGTGGAGAGAAGGAAAACAAGTCCATATTTTTCCAGTAAATACAGCAAAGAAGGTATTGTATTCTTTAGGGAAATGTATTTTTTTTTATGGAGGAGGGATAGGATGGCTCAGGGTCAAGTGATGTTCTGGCAAATGCCTTGCAGTTTGAGGCTGGCAGCCTTGGCTCTGGCTGCAGCTGTGCCAGAGGGGACACAGTCCCCTGCAGCCTTGGAAAGGCTGTGTGGGAACTGCCATGGCTCCATCCACACACAGTGCCCCCACAAAGATCAATCTGCTTCCAAGGTCTTAATTTTAATTTTTCTTTTTTAACTAAATAGGTAAATCTGTCCTTTCCTGACCAATAAATATTTCTGTGTTGCCTCTGTACAGCCCCCAACCCACCCAGAAGGAAAGCCCTCAAAAAATGGACCCCTCCACGTTCTCCTTTCAATCTGGTCCAAGAAACGCTCTTCCATGATCCATGGAAGCTTCTCATTGCCACCATATTTCTCAATAAAACTTCAGGTAAGTGGAGTAGCAGGAGCTGGTGTTGTGTGAATGTTGGGAGGTGTTGCAGGGATAAAACTGATGCCAGTTCTAATGGCATTAGTGAAAGAATAGTTGTATATTAACTCACATCAGCGTGAAACAATCTTTAGTTGGTAACTCTTGCCTTGGAAAAGCTCACTTAAGAAAGCACTTGGATAATGCAGAAGGAGAATTCCTGGCCCAGCCTTCTGCTCACAGGCTTCTTTCACCAGGGAAAATGGCAATTCCAGTGCTCTGGGAGTTCCTGAAGAAGTACCCTTCTCCTGAGGTAGCCAGGGCTGCAGACTGGAAAGAGATGTCAGAGCTGCTCAAACCTCTCGGCCTCTACGAACTCAGAGCCAAAACCATCATCAGGTTCTCAGGTGGGTTTTCCTGATACCTGGAATGGTCTCTCTCACGCTGGCAAAAGGCAAACGGCTTCAATCCAAATACTGCTCTGTGGCTTCTCCTCTGTTTGGCAGTTTGGTGTCCTAGTGGGTTATTTTGTGCATCATTTGGGCTCTGTTAGTGTCACACAGGCTGAGCTGCTGATCCCAGTCTGAATGGGGAGGGAAGTGCCAGCCAGGGGGAGTTGTGCAGGAGACCAGGAGATTTCCTGGAGTAGAGGAGACCTAACACCCGCAGCACTGCTGCTATGTTTGCAGCACTGGGATAGGATGGCTCTGCTCAGGGTTGCTCTGGTGACCTGCAGAAGGCCCTTCCAGTGGAATTTCTCTATGATTCTAATATTTTCTAAACTCAGAACCTGCAGAGGAATACTTTGTTCTGAGGAGAGAGAGGTGACTGAAACTCTTCTATGGTGAATTGTTGAAAAAGTGCTTAAGATGTACCTCTGGGGATTCATGGCCTGCATTCACCAGGAAACACCTAAAACTTGGAGTTTTATTTGAAATGTACCAAAGTGGAGCCGTGTTCCACTGGCACAGAAGGAGAGTTCTGCCCAGGTGCTCCCTGTGCCTGGTGCAGGTGAGGGGGTGCCCGAGGGCTGTGCCCTGCCTTGCAGGTGAGTACCTGAGCAAGCGGTGGCGGTACCCGATCGAGCTGCACGGCATCGGCAAGTACGGCAACGACTCCTACAGGATCTTCTGCGTCAACGAGTGGAAGGAGGTGAGCACTGCAGCCGGGGCAGGTCCGGGCTTGTGTCCACCGACCCCTGGGAATAGAAAACCAACACTCACAGTGTTGCAGCGATGAGGTGTTTTAGAACTTTCCCTGTGTTCCAGGTGCAGCCACAGGACCACAAGTTGAACGTGTACCACGCGTGGCTGTGGGAGAACCGGGAGAGGCTGAGCCTCGACTGAGCCTAGCTGAGCTGGGGGTGCCCCAGCCCCTCCGCCTTTCCTCGGGTGTCCTCACGGTTCTTGGTGTAGATATTTGTGTGATGTCCTGGCTCGGGTCATCGCTGTAATGACGAGTGTCTGATCTGTATTTTTTTAATAAAGGTGTCCCTGGTTGTAGTGCGTGTCCCTGGTTGTAGTGCCTGTCCCTTCCTGCAGTGCAGATCTGTGTCCTATGCGTGCGGCCGCGTCCCCGTGCCCGCCGTCGCTGCCCCCGGAGCCGGCTCCGATCTGGTGCTGCTGGGCACGAGCAGAGGGCTCGAGGTGAAGCAGGACTGGGGACAGGAGACGCCGCTTCGCAGACCGGCCCCGGCGCTTCCCCAGGTGCTGCCTGGGACCAGCTCCGCGACGGGCCGGGGGGCACGACCCCCGCTCCGGCCGGGAGAGATGCAGCCTCGGGCCGTCAAGCCCCCGCCTCGCTGCTCCCGTGCTCGGCAGCGGCAGAACCGGGGCGCGTCGAACCCCGGGGCTGGGCCGCTTGCTTTTGGGTGTGTTGAGCCGGCGGCAGCAGCGCGGTCCAGCCGTCTGTGGCGGCGTGAGAGAGGGCCCGGAGTGGAGCTGCCGGACCGGGACCGCGATGGACGGGGACCGCTGCACCGCCAGGGGGCGCCCGCCCGGCTCGACTGGAGGAAGCAGGGCCCGGGCGCTGCCTGTGGAAGTGACGTCAGCAGGTCCTGGCAGCCTCGTACCGAGAACGTTGTTCGGGGCCACAGGCGGGAAGCACCTATCTGCTCTTTTGACGCGTTCCCTCCGGACAGAGCCTGCCCGGTTCCCACCTCTCGGCGGCGGTCCGGCCCCGCCGGTGCCCGCTCCGCGGCGGCTTGGCGCGAAACGCAGCTGCCAGGACCTCCGCGTATCCCATAAGCCGCTGCGCGGGGCTCCTCCCTCTCTCGGCGGGCCCGCGGCGGACGCGCCTCGCACGGTGCAGTGCGGTCCGGCATCCGCGGGTCCGGGGCCAGTCGGACCATCCGGGGCCATCCGGACCCACCGGCCCGGGCTTAGGCACGGACCGCCCGCCCCCTCCCCTTCCCTCCGCTCACCTTTCCCCGGGGCGCGGGAACGGCCCCCGCAGGGCGGGACTCTGCCTGCCTGAGGCCTGACCCCGCAGCCCTGCCCGGGCGGCGGGGCACCCTCGCGCTCGGTCACGGCCCCGCGCGAGCCTTTGGGCCGGGCCCGGCGCGTTCGGCGCCAGCGTGTCGTGTCGCTGTTCTCCACGACAGCCCGCTCCGTCTGGCTTCGGTGCCGCGGCGCGGGCCAGGCCAGGGCCACTGGGGGGGACGACTGACACCACGACCTCCCAGGATCGCATCTGGAGAGCTCCCAGTGCTCTGCCAGCTTCGGAGGCGGGAGGCAGAGCCACAGCAGATGAAGACCCATTCCCTCGCCGGCCCGGCGTGGCCCGCGGGGGAAGACAGTCTGCGACACGCGCTGCACGGGGAGCCGCGCCGCGCCCGGTCGCGCCCCCCGCTCACCCCGCTCTGTGTCCCGCAGCCACCATGCCTGCCCTCAGGCCTCTCGTGAAACCCAAGATCGTCAAGAAGAGGACCAAGAAGTTCATCCGGCACCAGTCCGACCGCTATGTCAAGATCAAGGTGAGCAGTCGCTACCAGTCCCCGGCAACTGCGGGGGTGCCTTTGGGATGGTGGTGAAGGGAAGCGCAGCAGGGCAGCAGCAGCCGGGCAGTGAGGGCCTGCGGGGGCCGCTCTTGGCTGGAGCCAGTGCCTCGGGGCAGGCAAGGGTGTTAGCCCTCGGGCAGGGGTGTTCGGGCTGATCTCGTTGTGTAAGTGATCTGTGCATTTCTGCAGCGCAACTGGCGCAAACCGAGGGGCATCGACAACAGAGTGCGCCGGCGCTTCAAGGGGCAGATCTTGATGCCCAATATTGGCTACGGCAGCAATAAGAAGACAAAGCACATGCTGCCTACAGGCTTCAGAAAGTTCCTGGTCCACAATGTCAAAGAGCTGGAAGTGCTGATGATGAGCAACAAGTGAGTGTGTGGGGCCTGTGTGCTCCCACCTGGGAGAGGCAGAGCAGTTGGGGTGACACAAGGGAGGTTGTTGCTTTCAAGAGGACAGATGCCATTGTGGTTTCCTCAGTGCTGCTGGTGTGGGTGCACAGAGGGGCCTTAGGGCTGTAAAACTCATACCCCTGGTAAAAATAGACATAACCATGGCGAACAGGGCTGTGGTATGTCACTGGTGACCATGGTCAGAGCTGGGGCTCCAGGTCAGACCTAGGACTGAGTCTGCTTCTGTTGTTGCTTTCACTACAAAGCAATAAGAGTAGTAAGCAACACCATTAACAGCTATCTGGGACTCAGTTATTCGCAAGAAGGGCTGAGGTGTTCTGTAGTGGAGCTTCTGCTTCAGGCCAGACAGGTCAGGTTGGGTCAGGGGGTGGAAATTGCATGGTTCAGTTCCTGTGCATCGATGCCCCTCTGCTTGGCTGTGTCCAAGCAGTGCCAGCGGGATGTCTCTGGGGGGCTTTGCTGTGGTGGGACAGAACCAGAGGGCTTTGCCTTGGCTCTCAGCTCTGCTGGAGCTGAACCTGACATGCCATCTGTCTCTGACAGGTCATACTGTGCAGAGATAGCCCACAACGTGTCCTCCAAGAACAGGAAGGTGATCGTGGAGAGAGCAGCACAGCTCGCCATCAAGATCACCAACCCCAACGCCAGACTGCGCAGCGAGGAGAACGAGTAGCCAGGCTCTGCAGCCCAGGTGTATTTAATAAAGTGTCAGTCCAACTCAGGTGCTGTTTCTTGTGGGCAGAGCAGGGGCAGCAGCCCTGGCCTGGCTGTCTCGGGGCACTCGCACAGCGAGGTGCAGTGTCAGGGTGATGGTCAGTGAACTCAGGGCGTGCAGCTTCACAAGTGTATTTTATTTTTATACCATTCAGACAATAGCTGTCCTTTCACACAGCACTGTAAATACTTTCACATCAACCACCCTGTCAGAAGAGGAGAAAAGTAAGCATAGGGCAGGTCCATGGCCACAGCCCCAGTGTGTCTTGGTGGCCTTGTCCTCCAGTTGGCTGTTAACATTCTCTGTCCCTTAAGGCATTTTCTCCTGCACAAAGCAGGATTTGAGCACAGCAGCCACTGTGGATTGTGTGTTTGCACCTCTGGCTCCTGCCTGCCACCTCTCACCCCTTTGACATTAACACAGACCACCAGTGCTCCTACAGGTGCCTCCTGCTGATCTGTGACCAGGATCAGTAGGTTGGTGCCCTCATGACTGGTGACAACACCGAGGTGCTCCAAGGGGAGAAGAAGCCAGCGTTGGTGCACAGCAGAGCTTAGAGCAGGGTTTGTCACTGAGATAGTCACTAATCGTCCCTTGGAGGAGACACTTGAGGTATTTTGCAGTCAAAACTGTAAAAACGGAAGCCAAGCTAGAAAGCTTTGTATTGCCCAAATGCCAAACTATGGAGCCCCAGGAGGAAGCCTGGGGGGCTAGGTAACCCCCTTGCCCCATGCAGCTCCCGCAGCTTGGCTGGGGCAACTCTCCTTTCCCTAAAGGCCTGTGGGAGTGGTGCTCATCACTAAAGACATGACTTCAGTTTTTAGTCATGTTATTTAGGGAAACACTGTAAAAACATTCTTGGGCAATTTGGGGTAGAAAGTGCATGTGCAGTCATTAAAAAACCATTTAAAGCTATATTTTTTTGCACTGCAGCAAGGAATATATCAGGAAGTAGTTTCCATTGTTCATGGAACCACCCCTTAAAACTTGCTGAGAAGTGGGACTGCTCATCTTTCAGCCCCTCCCCTACATGAGGATGTGTTCCCCTGATCCACGAGGTGTCTGATGCAAGTACTGCTGGTCCAGGCAGTTTCTCCTGTGGCTGCCCAGGGACTTGCACATGGCTGTGGCAGGAGTGGCTCAATGGCCTTCGTTCCCCCCGACCCAGCTGGTGTCTCTGGCTGGGGCATTGCAAGGGCAGGAGGGCAATGGGGGAAACACATCTTAGCTCATGTCCATTGACTCTGAGATGGAGAGGGAAGCAGAATCTTTCTGAATGCTCTCAAACAGTGATGCCATTTCAGGACTGGATCTGATCTGGGATGAAAACTCTGCCATCACTGGACTTTTCTCCACCTCAGGAATGGTCAGGAGAGCAGCCACTGCCCTCATGGCTGAGCGCTTCAGCTCATCCTGCTTCTCAAACTCCTGCTTCACTGAACCTGCTTTCACCTGCAAATCCAAAGCCCTGTTTGCAGTTGGCATTTAGAAAAGCTGGTTCAGGCGCAGAACCAACACAGCAGCAGAGTATTTTACAGCTGGGGAAATGAGGGGAGTGGGTGGCTCAGCAGCAGTGAGGGAGAAGGCCGGGAGCAGAGGTGGCTTTGGGCAGGACCTGCCCCAGCCCCTTGCATGTTCCAGCTCTTACCTTGGTGGAGCAGGTTGCCCGGAGGGGCTCGATCAGGCGCTCGAGCCGCTGCAGGACAGCGCTGGGGCAGAGCACGGAGAGCCGCGCCAGCATGATGAACGTCAGCATCTGGGCAGGACGGGAGAGACACGGGTTGGTTCACTGAGCCCCCGGGCTCAGAGCTGGGCCCACCCTGCTGACAGGCCAGGCTGTACCCACACTGTCGTGTGCTCCTCTGCACTTGTGCCAGGGGCTTGGGGCAGAGCTTTGGGGATACTGAAATGCAGCCCTGGCAGCCAGCAGGCTGGAGCCGCAGCTGGGCCTGGTGTGTGCAGTGCTACAGGTGTCTGCACAGGGCCATGGGGACAAATGGCACCGCTCAGCATGGGGCTGTGCCTGCCTCTCAGCTGGGGTAAAGCAAATCACATTGGAAAAGGATGTCGTGCTTCCTATCCAGATGTGAGGCCAGCAGCCAGTATAGTGTCACTGGTCCCTCTGAACAAATGACAATCATCCGTTTAAAGGCAGAAGAAACTTTAGACTTTGGTACATTTCCTACAAAGCCAGCTACACCAGGGGTGTCTTGTCAAGGCCACTACAGTCAAATCAGAGCCAGACAATCATGAAAGGCTGCAGCAGTTGCAGGGAATAGGAAATGGCATGGCAGGGGCACACTGCTGTGGGGACACACAGCTCAGTTGCAGGCCAGGCCCCCAGAGAAAATTACATTAGTTAGGGCACAGCACTGACCCGAATATCATAGTGATCCTTTAGCCCATCCTCCACATGGTTCAGGTACTCGTAGATGTCCAGCTGGTCCAGGCAGCTCTCCAGCAGGGTGTACATGCACTCAAAAGCAGCTTTCCTCACATCAAGGCCATCGTCCACTGTATGCTTGAATGGCCCCATTTCTACCTTAACCAAGACAAACAACAGCGGTGTGACCTAAGAGCAGACAGGGCAACAGCTCCATCTCACCTACACAGGCAGCAAGTCACCGTGTGTGGCACCCAGCCAAGCCCATTCACCTCATGGGTGAGCTCCCTTTGGACCTACCTCCCGGATGAGCTCCCTTCGGACCTTCGTTTCGCTGTACAGGCTGGGCAGGACCATGTTCAGTAAATCCCGGATTAAAGAAGGTTTGTTGTGAGCAGCAGAATTAAACAGGGCTAAAGCCACGCGGCGAACGTTCAGGTCTGGATCTTGCAGAGTTTGTAAGAAGTCACCTGTGGAGTAAGAATGTACCAGTCAGTCCTGCTGCAGTGTTTTTAAAGGATTTTGAAAGTATATCAGGGTATATTTCAAGAAGGCTGGTTATGGAAGCACCTATGGTAAAATAACTCCAGTGGCACACTCTTAACAGAGCCATTGGAGATGCTTTCCCTCCCTCCGTTTGGGATACAGTAAATAGAAAAAACATGACTGTCCTGCATTTGGGCATAAAACCAAACTGTGTTTCTAGCTACCTCACCCTAAAGTCAAATCAGCACCTTTAGTATTCAAGGAAGTTGGTTTTTGGTTTCCTTCTTGCTCAGATCTTCTCTGAAACAGAAGGCCCAGTTCTATACAGCAGATCCAATGTGTGGGCTCCCAAGATATAAGACCCTTTCCATATAAGTTGTACTTTTCAAGATCCTTGTTGTGAGGAGCTTGAAGTCTGAGTTTAAATACAGAAGGAACTTAAGCTTCCTAAAAATGCACTATGCCCAAGAGCAAGGCATCAGAGCATTTAACAAGGACTCACAAGACAGTGTTGCTCTGTCATCTCAAAAGCAGAGGAATACAGATCTAAACTAACTGGACTAGATGAGGTTCACACAGGAGTGAAAAATCCCCGAGCTGCTAACGATGCCCAACCTTTCACACCCCTGCCTCACACTGCTCACACTGCTGTCCACACCACCCTACCTATGCAGCCTTTCAGGAGAGCATCGATGGGCTGAGGCTGGTCTGCAATTGTGAACTTGATGGCAGTGACCACAGTGCTCCGGGCATGTGGAGAGCCTGCGATGAAGGGGGGAAGAAAAACAGTGAAAGACCAACTGACAAAGTCACTGCTGTAACTCTGCAGCACATATTCTGCTCTTAGTTGGGTTACACACACGTTGAAGAGGTTAAGAGAACAGAGCATTTGTCTTAACAACTCTGTGTTTAAATCTGTTCCTGCACAATCTCCACATGCAGTCCCTGTTCCCAAGACCCTCCTGTCCCTGCACAGACCAGTGCACCTCTGATCCCCCCTGCAGAGAATCCTTCATTTCCTGCTTGCCTCTCTGGCTGGCTTTGCTGCCTGTTGTACCCACCAGCAGTTTACAAGAGGAATTTCCACCAATGGCAGCATTTCCCCCCTCTGGCCATCGCCATCCCCATTACCTGCTGACAGCTGTTTCCTCAGCCGGGGCATCAGCTCAGCAGGGTTCACCAAGGTCAGCTTTCCCAGGCATTCTGCCACCACGTTGCGTGTCCCTTCCTCTGTGCACTCGCAGTGCTTGAAGAGCAGAGCCCAGATATCCTCCACGTAAGGCGTGAGGCTGTCGGCCGGGGAGGAGCTGATGACTTCCTTCAGGGAGTGCAGCAGCAGGTACTGTCGCTTGGGCTGGCTTCCGATCTCCTTCAGCATGAAGGGCAGATACTCCTTCAGATTCCCAACGCTGACGTTCCCCAGCGCGTAGGAGGCAGCGGATTTCACCTCTTCACTGGTGGAAGCAAACGCTTCCAGGATGACAGTTCTGAGCTCCCTGTGAGCACTGAGGTTTGTGGTACGGCCCATCTCTGCCAGGGAGAGGAAAGCCAGCACTTGAACAGCAGGACTGGACTTGGGGCTTTTCACATCCTGAACAAACTGGTTCACTGTCACAGGGGCCTCCTTCGGGCAGGCCGAGGACAGCGCTGCCACGCACTTTGCGACGGAGTGATACGCCTGTTTGTGCAACGTCAGCGAGGCCCCGGCCGAACCCGAGGAGTAAACGGGTGCTGTCAGCTGCTTCATCAGCTCGGGGTAACCCATGGTGGCTGCCTTCGTCAGGACCAGTGCCTGGAAGAAGGCGATGATGGCATTCAGAGCCCCTCCTTGAAGCAAAGGTGAGTGGACAAGCTGAAAGATTTCAGCGAGGACTGAGCCGCTGATCTTGGAGATGCAGGATGGATAAACCTTTGCCAAAGTCGTGAGGAACATGATGGCCACCTGGGACACGTGCATGTCATTCTCAGTAATTAAGGCAGGGAGCTCTGTTAGCACAGACTCGATCATGGCAGGCTTGAGGCTGTCACTGTAGTTCTTCACCAGGATGTCCAGAGCAGTCAAAGTGCTCAGTTTCAAGGCACGTTGATTCTTTCTCAAGAAGGAAGCTAGAATGGGGATACCTTCCCCTAGAATGGG